GCCATGACAATCAATCTGTCTATATTTGATCAAATGTAAACTGCGGTGTTGGTCATGGAGCTAGTTTTACCTGACATGGATGATTGTTCGAGTCCTTAAAGTAAGGTCCTTAAAATAGAAATTGCAAGAGCAATTACCGAGTTCCAAAGCTATACAAAAATATTGGTTTCCATCGCTAGCATTACGACCAGTCCATGACTTAAATCGAACAATTAAAATTCATACGCGGTGCTGTTAACTATACTTCAACAAGGGTGCCTCATCAGAAGGTCTTCATAATGTCGTATATATACAAGCATTGAGAAATCATTATATGTCAGTATGCGTTTGAGTTATGTTTGAGTAGAGTTAAGGGATTCTCTTTCAAAAATGGTGATGACTAAGAATATCAAGGGTTATCCTGTATATCAGTTGGTAGACGCAACTTCTACAAAGATACCTGATTTCATTTGATGGTGAAAAAGCTCAAATAAGGCATGGGTTGACAGGTGATATGCTGTCATTCAGAAAGGATTCATACACGAAGACGGTATCGATTATTACACAAGGCAGATGCTAATTGTGCACCACGATTAAATAAAGCACAACTAGGAAATCTGAACAACGATATCTATAAGGGCATAAGGGTGTGAACACTAATTTCGATCATTGACTTCAATGAATACTGCAATCGGATTGCGGATAAAGTGGTTCAAACATGCAAACACATTGACAGATTGAAGCTGTTCAACAAAGTCGGAATGCGGATTCCAGAAGGGAATTATTCCAGGTTGCGAAACATTGTGTTGGTGGAATCAGCTTGTGTTGCAGCATCGTTAAAATTAGAACTTGCTAATTTTGGTTCTCAGCGTTGCGCACAAGTGCTGAGTGGCAACATGACTTGGAATAATTTGTGTGATATTTAAAATTAACTCAAACATGATCAGTTTTCGAATGAAAGAATGAATGGGAGATTGAGTTACAACAGTGGGATGTAATTCTACAAATTCGACAGAATTTAAGTTAGTCTAGCTATCCCAACAAAATTGGCGTGTACTTTGCAATGTATGGTAGGATCTGTGTCGCATTCTAATGCACCGTTTAGTATGTGTGCTTATTTAGCCTTAGTGTAAGGCCCCTGAACATTACTGGATTCACTACTCGGAAATGATGTTGGTTTTTCTCAGTTGGGCGGAGGTCATAACAAACATCGCACTTTGTGATGTCATTTTAGATTACAATAACTCTATCTCTGCAGAAAAACTGACGGTTGTTTGGCATAAAGCTCCTGCTAGCCAATGACAGTCCCTTTTCCCCTCAACGTCTCATCGGATCAGCATGCTAAATCAAGTTGAACACTTGAACTATCACGCGAATCACACAAGTGACGCCATTGTAGTGAAGGGCGCTCATGTGGCATGCCTCTTACATGGACATCAAGTGCCTCTGTCTACACGCTACAGCTTATATTACCGTTCCACACAATTGTATTATGAAATGAGATATTAATTATAGTGATTTCGTAGGTTTGAATAGATGTTGAACTCTAATTAAGTGTCACATATGTTTTGCAAAATACATACTTGAGCGCAGACTAACTGAGTCGTTCAACTTGTGGTATAAAATACATCAAGCGATACTTTGGGCTTGAGGGACTGCTTAGGTAGGGTGAAGGATATTATTGTCTATAGATGTCGGTAATAAATAACTTTAAGTTGAAATAAAGGATTAACGACTTAGGCATACACATCGTTACCAAAAATAATGCCAAAATTATATCAGCCAAGTATTCGCACAACTTGGAATATTCGACATATTATTTCACAGCCAAATGATGCCTATTCGGGCGTCGCGCGGTTTAGATGAAACGCTGTCGGACACACCGTCAATGCATTTACAAGAAAAGTATCCGCAGAAGGCAACGACTTTCTAATTTCGCATCTAAAAGTACTTTTCTTGCGTCGAAGTGGTCAATCTGATATCGCCTAATTACTGCTTCGTGATTACAGCTGATATTCGCTAATCATTTTTACGCAGACACATACAAAGACACTAGTCTGGTCTGGTCTTCACAAATGGTGGCATCAGCTGTCTCTTGTCTTGCTTCTGTCGTCGGGTTGTTGAGATACGATAACCACGACGTGTTTAATGATCTGTTTTGAAGTTATTACAACACTCGCTTCGGCTCACACTGAGTAACTTCTTGTTCCAAAAAGCGCATTTCAGTCAACTGTTGGTCCTACAGAGTGATTTCTGCAAATTGGCTCATTTTCGTACACACAATACAAACCCTCGTTTCTCCACGTATTCGCATGTCGTTGAACAGCCACCGAGGTACGTGATTGATGTCTAGGAGTGGAAGAACAAACCATCTCATCGAGCAAAACAGCAAACATGAACACCTAACCCACTGAGCACTTTTACGAACAACAGGCATCCAATCTCTTACTAAACATGGAAAAACATTTTTTGACGTCTTCAACAAGTTCTCATTGAGTCAGTCAATCTAGGAAGCCATCGTAGTCATATTGATGCCATCATCGCTATGGATGCTAGGCCACTTGAATTTCCTCGGTCAACCAATCACCTCTGTAATGACTAGTCTAGCCAGTGTGGAGGAAATTGTCACAAATGCTTGCTCTGATAAGACCGGACAAGATCAAGTCTTGAAAAGACTTTAGCACCGCCTAAAACCAATGAAAAATCGTAGATATGAGGGATGGGATACCGATCAGGGGCTGTGATATTATTTATGGCTCTGTAATCACCGCAGGATCTCCAGTCTTCAGAAATCTTGAGTACCATGTGCAAAGGGACCACCCGTGGGCTATTGGAGGGAAGGATTATGGGTGGATTTGATGTTGGTACCACACAGAACTGCTTAATTGAGTAATTTATATCTTCAAACAGCCCCCACACTCAAGCCTCTGACGCAGCTGACTTCGACGCCAAAGCACGTTTGCAATGCGTGGTGGTTGTGTTCAGGCAAGAGCAACCAGTGAGACTGTGTGCTGGAAACTTCATCGCCGTCGTGAACACTTCAAGCTCTTCGAGCACAACCAATAATTTCGTACATGAAACTCTGTCATGTGTTTTTGGAGGCCAACAAAGTTAGCTGTGGCTGTGCATTAGTCGATCTGTGGCGATTTCGCTTGAGATGGACGCTATACCACTCAGGTACTTCATTCGGAGCTCTAAAATAAAATCGTGGAATGTAACTCCAATCGAGAGCGAGTGAACACAGAACTTGATTTAGGTAAAACGCAATTGTGGCAGGCCTTCATCTGAAGAGGCTGGGTAACGGTTGCCTCAAAATCATCCATTGTCTGCATCACATGCTTTTTCTTCTTTTTTCCCTCGAAAGCTGGTATTAAGCCCCATTCATAAATTCACATTGTCGCCTTAAAAATTATTTTTCCGAAAAGAGAACAGCCGAAAATACAAGAAGGCAAGTACATGGGAATCAGCAGAGATGTGGCACTGAATTTCTCGATTTGTGTGATTTGGCGTATCCAAAATGGCTTTTAAGAACCAATTAGCTTCGTTACCAACACTCATGTTTGTCCGGAAGAAGATCATAATTCTCATTCGGATTCAGTGGCGCTTGTCAAATGACTGGCGTTACCTTCGCTTAAAAAGGTTCAATATTCCCCACCAATTGAAAGCCCAAGTTTAGACAAAATCGAGAAGCTAGCATTGCTCGCCCATGCGAAAATACACATAACAGATTTGAGGCCCACTCGAACAGGTCTCGCCCACTGTCTGGTTGTTGCCTATGGGAGTCACCGACACGTCAACGACTTGGCTATCGTATTGAACAAGTTGCCGACATATGCTGGCTCTCCTCACACCATCTACACACAAGCACGTGGACCCCTCATCGCTACGTTGCCTGATCAAAGGGAGCAAGCTCTGTACGAGTAACAGCTTCAGTGGTGTCATCGTCTGCTTGCCGCATGCGTCTGTATCTACGGACCCCTGTAATGAACTCAAATGCTGTAGAGCAGATAATGTGCGGAGTTAGGAGAAGGCCAGTGCTTGTGGACAATTCGGAATCCGTCGTCTTCACGTCTGGGGTCTCAATTTCATTGATACTTGCGTGGAGACGTGTCTGGTGGCGTTAACGACGAAGCATCACTATCCGGCCATTCTGGAAGGCGACTCATTCCTGAATTAGAAGATGAAGCGTCTTGCGGAACCTCGTCAATTCAAAGCCTGTCTGCGTGTGCAAATTAAGGTATCAGCTGCTGTTGCGATGAGAATTCCACTAGTATGGTAGTGAAGTACACGTGGTGAAGACATGGGAGTGCCATGCTGGGTTGATTTTGACGTGAGTGGTGAGGTTGAGGAGATAATAGCACCAGGATTGGGAGGTGTTGAAATCTCCGATTGGTTGATCTGAGGCAGTATCATCCTAACCATTGGGGACGAATACCTATCAAATTACATTGTGAATCAAGTCAAGTAGGTAAGAGCATTGCCTCCATGAACAGCAAGTAAAAACGTACAAGCTGATGAAGAACATTCTGGAATGTAGCTGCCAGCTGGATAATGGTGACGATGAGATGCTCCATTCAATTGATATCCACTGTCGATTTTCATCAGAATTCGATCACTATTTCCGAGGCACGGAAATGTAAATGTGAAACAGTGGATGCATTTTGCAATTAGGGGTTTTCTGTGGTGTCGACAATGACAGTCGCAACGTCCAGTGTAGGTCTCGTGATGGGGTAGGTCACCGTCGTCTGCCATTTTCAAATGCAATTGATAAGAGCAGTTCTATCATATAGCCGCCTCTCGTGCGTCCGGGCCAGCTATTGTGCGGTGCACGATGCAACCAGCCTACGCTATACAGCTTTGTATTTGCGAGTTGAATGACACTCAGAAGGTCATGTCGAGAGAAGAAAGTGTGTTCATTGGAAAAGAGATAAACTAACCAATCGTGTGACACGATGCTTCAAATCACACTCTCGATGGTATAAGTATGCTGCAGAGCAGTGCTCTCAAGAGGTTTATGTGTGATGAGAAGGAAAGGTGCCGTTGTTCCATTGCTTTTGGCATTGGTGGCAGTCGTGTGGATTTTTCGATCAGCTAACCATGTGACGGTGTACGTGATCACACCGACGTACTACCGACCAAACCAAATAGCCGACTTAACCAGACTGTGCACGGTGTTCAAAGTTGCCGGCAACATCCGATGGCTTGTGGTTGAGGACGCCGATCACAAAAGTGGGTATGCAGCTGTCGGATTTCTCCTAAATCGTTAGCTTTGTGCCTCACACACAAGTAATGGAGACGCGTTGATTGTGTTTAGGGTCCTAGCGAAGTTTCTGCAGCATTGTGGAATTCCGTATGTCCACTTGAACGCCCCGACGACCCTCAGCAGCAAACGCATTCGAGGCTCGAATCAGCGGAACGAGGCACTGCGGTGGCTTCGGGCGAACATTCGACCGAACCAGGAACGAGGCGTGGTGTACTTCGCTGATGACGACAACACGTACCACCCGGATCTGTTTGCAGAGGTGAGTGTTGGCATTGGCTTTGACATGCTTTTGCGTATCTTCGAAGCACGTAGCCTGATCATGAGACAGTCTTCGTAAAGAAACACGCAACTCACTGCACTCCGTCAGGTGGAAGCATCGTGATCTAGTTCGTGAAGACAATCGGAGTCATATTGAGGTCACTTAGAATTCAGGTGGTTGAATTCGATGTGGCCAAATTTGCCTGTCAAATATCTGCCAAGAATAAACACCTGAATTCTGGACAAGCTGAATGTCGATGGCCGACAGTTCGATTGGCTCAAATTGACAACTTGCAGTTGATTGGATCCTTCGCTTTGGCACACGCCCTTCTACTCTCTCTCTCTCGACAGATGCGGACATTGAGGAGAGGTGCAACGTGGCCGGTCGGTCTCATTGCGAGTTCGGAATGGGAGGGCTGCATCACTGAGCCCGACGATCGCAATTCCATCAAGACGTTCTGGAGTAACGTGAAGTACAAACGAACATTCCCCATCGACATGGCCGGATTCGCCGTTAGCCTGGACCTGGTGTTGCAAAATCCGAAGGCCTTGTTCGACGACCAGACTCTCGGGAAGCAGGAGGGTCTGATTTTGTCTGGACTGGGTTTCAAGGATGCCTTTGAACTGGAACCGAAGGCTGACGGCTGCACGAGAGTAAGTTCGTGCCATCGGATGTGGTGGTGGATCCACATTCGAGTAGTTTTCCTGTCTAAGGCTCACAATTGACCCTGCAAAGCTCCAATGCGCTGACACCGAACATGCATAGTCATTGTGAATTTTGTTCATTTTAGCTCCTAGTTTGGCACACCAAATCGAAAGAGGCGATTTTGAAGATACCGGCACCACGCACAATTCCTGACCTTTTCTGACACTCCACGAGGGTTACCTATTTTGTACAAAATATGTCTGTTTGACGCTGTTTGCTATTAAGGTGTTTTATTTTTTCTAACTAAATCCAATTTTATCCCAAATGAAATGAAATCGACCTACAGTCTAATCTGTGTGTTGTGAAGTCCGCAACTTTCAAAGTGTTGGTATAGTTAATGCATCAAAGTCAATAAGGATAAAATGAATTACGCGACGATGCGACAAGGAGTTGTAGAGTGAAGGGGAGAAGTAAATTCAACATGGACGTGGGTGTATAGTGGTCGTAAAAGCACTTGCTTTCAACTTGAGACAGTTAGTCCGTTCTGTGGCCGCCTCACGGGCATCGCATCTCCATCCTGACCAGGTCCTCTTTGAATGCATCAGAATAGAATGTGGTGTTATTTCGTAATGTCTGACATTCGTAATTGCCTGCACGTTTGTCGCCGGCAAAAGCCGGTATTTAGGCAGTTCTACGCTCGCCACACACTCGCATTGTCCATTGGCCACCGCACTCATGTGGTTCGGTGCAGCAAGATAGCCTAGTCTAGCCTGGAAGCTGACTCGCCATCTCTTACAATTTGATGAAAGCGAGAGTGCTCCAATCCTTATGACCGGGAATTGCGTGTAGGCATTTGAGCACTTGAGGATACTGACTGCATACACGCTACGTAAATCTCGATTCTACCATTTTCGCCACAACGCGACCTCAAGTGATAAGGATGATAGTGTTAATAATAAACCGTGGATTATTATTTTACATTTTGTGTTGCTCAATACTATCGAAATTGACGAGTGTCAGGCAGCGGCTTAAGGTAGACATGACACGTGCTGGGCATCTGGAAGTGTTTAATTAGATTGAATGAGGTATCTGATTAGTGAATTCCGAGGACAATAGTACAATTGAATTAAGTGCTATGTTCAGTAATCGATTTTTCGAAGATAATTGCAGTCATCGAAAAGATGTCACAAGGAACAGCGTCGCAGTTGATAATTCAAAAATGCTAAGCAATTGGTCATCTCGAAACAGTTTCGATGTAGTTAAGATGCGGACTTTTGACTGAATATCTGACTAACCGGATTTCAGATGCGTGGCACTAATCTATCGTCTGAAGGCGATGTAGAAGTTCTCATCATTCACGTATCTCAAATTACGAAAGCAAAGTGGTTAAATAAAGCGTGCGTCCATGTTAACCAATCGCCATTTTCAAAACCAATTTTAAAATGACACCTAATGCAGCGATGTTGCTCATTCAGCTTGAAGTGTTCACGGTAGGGATTCGACGTCGAAGAACCTTCCAACACACACTCACTGACTGATCTTACCTGAACACAACCACGCATTGTAATCGTGCTTTGGCGTCGAAGTCAGCTGCGTCAGAGGCTTGAGTGTGGGGTTGCTAGAAGATATAAATTACTCAGTTTACCAGTTTTGT